CCCCAAAACCCCAAAACCCCAAAACCCCAAAACCCCAAAACCCCAAAACCCCAAAATATGGAAAGATAATTGAATATTATTAAAATTATGAAGCCCTGGCAGTCTAAAGAGACAAAACATGGCACTCGTAATGCTTTTCAAAACAAGAGAAAATATCTGAATAGAAGCATGATAGATGAGGAATTCAAGGTAAAAGCTTTGAATTCAGACCTTTTTGAATGAGAAAATAATTTTAAAAGTAACCTTTGTATATCATTTTAGTAGAGAGGACAAAAGATCACAGTCATTCTGTCAGAAGGAAAGTTAGAGATAATTCTAAGCTCTTTGGTTCAAATTCGATAACCCAGCATTTACCTGAATTTGCACAAGGCAAAAACAAGTATAAACAAGGATAAAAATCGTAATTTCTGTCTCAGTATATTAGGACTTAATAGCTTGAATATTAGTAGAATCTCTATTAACGATTCATTCAACAAAATGTCTTCTCCCTTGTGAGAGAACAAGACAAAATTAAAAGAAAAGACAAATTTTTATCTGAAACAGCAGCTTGATCCCCTCAGGGTGAAAGAACTTCTAGTAACCTAAATTTGCTACCCTCTAGAATAGTAAAATTTTGAGCAGTCCAAAAGGCTGGAAAGAGCCTAATTACGCAAATATTTTCCGAAATCTGATAACAAGATTACCAAAAGAACCTTTTTCTAAAGAGAAATAAGGTAAATTTCAGTTCTGATTTGTATCTAGCCATGCAAGAGGAAGTACAATAGCTCGTTTACACGGTCATCGTGGGTCCTTGTCTCACCTTATAGTATCTCTAGCATGTACTATGACATCTCAAAGATCAACCAGGACAAGTGCTTGGCAAGGCACTTTCTCCGACTAACTGAAAGTAACCTCCATTCCTCACCTATAGAACGGAGAGTTCCAGAGGTCAAATTCATGAACAAGGTTATACAGGCTAAGAATATTGGGACTACTCAAGGTAAGCTACCTTTTTCAGAAATCTTAGAGTACCTAAACATTAACCTGAAAAACCTCAGGAAAATCAAGAATTGAAGAACCTGGAAGAAACCTGATGGGCAAACTAAGATATTATTTCAAAACTTCAGGCCATTACCTGAAGATGATAAATAAGAGCCACTTCAGACAAATTATTTTGAAATTTGGGGTCACCATCTGTGCTCTCAGGGTTTTTTAATAGAAAGTTATAGTCAATCTTGAGACATTTTATGGGGTTTTGGGGTTTTGGGGTTTTGGGGA